GTTGTTTACCAATTCTCATGTCATTTGGAAAACTGTATCTGCAATATCAGTCATTAAGATATATTAAATTATTACATTGAACAGAAATGCACCCCACTTTCTTGTAGGTTAACTTGTAATACGTCGAAAATGAGCGCTTTTCGGGCACATATTGATTATCACATCTCAATTAACCAAAATACGAGTAGCAACAGCAGACAAACATTATTAGATAATGCCCAAATACTATGAAACACAGGAAAGGAAGGAATACAAGGAAAGACTCAATACACTCGAAGCTATTGTTATAAAAAAAAGATATTGTAAACAAACATTACTTACTTGCATTATTTACATTATTTGGACTGTTATCCTCATCTTCATTCATTCACAACGTTTCGGCGCTGTACCCTCCGGCCTTCTTCAGGTGATTGGAATTTGGAACCGAACCCTTTATTTCGTCCACCGTGATAGATTGTTCTCGTTCCACGTGCCATGCCTCTTCCGGATGTCTCGGTTATTTCCCTTTAACTCAACTCTCTAAGTATTTTGGTTTACCCCTGCTGTGGCCTGGTATTGAACTCACAAATGTTTGGGTCTAGTCACTGGATCTAACCAACGTCTTTACCCACTGACGCATGTGTCCTTGAAATAACTGAAGTATATTCTTTTCTTTTCATGAATTATAAAAAAAAAATAAATTATACAAAAAATTGTCCGATTGTTTTACAAGCGATCAAGGCTATACTTTTAGCCATTATCAAGGATGAATTTTATTTTACTTTTAACTGAATATATGCATTGTTTTATGTATGCATCTAAAGCTATAGGAATGTTTTATTTTCCAAATACGGTCTGCATATTGTGGCCATGTTCATAGTTGATATTATTGAGTGATTGTTTTTTGTTTTAATAATAATGCTTCCATTATATTTAACCTTTTTGTACATGAGGATGATGCTATATGAAATTATATAAAAAAACTCAACCATACATTGTCAGTCGTTTTCAACAAAACTTGCATATATGTGTGTGCGTGTGCGTTTGTATATATATATATATATATATATATATATATATATATATATATATATATATATTTAAAGGTACTTATGAATTTAAAATTAAAGCAATTCTACAAAGTTAGAACGGCTCATGATCAAACATAATAGATATTCGTTGTCTGTTATATTTAAATATATATTTTTAAATTATGATCTGCTGCCCCGATACACTGTGACGTCACCCCCAGCCTCTCTGCTCCCGCGCTATCCTGTGCCGACCAATGTGACTTGGTATTGGTCTAACCCTTTGCTGATTCGGATGGAAATCTGGTTAGATTCGGTATCAGCTTTGTCGTTCCCAGCTCACCTCCAACGTCTGGTTACCGAAGTAACTGCTTTGATTTCTAGTCTGACCTACCCACGTTGTGATTTGATCTTAGGTAGATGAAATCAATCAGTCAGAGGGCCGTAATGCAAACCGAATTCGAGCAAAGGTGACATCGCACAAGTATATGTAAAAGAAAATAAAGTAACAACTCGAAAGATTCAAATGTGTTAAAAAAAGAATAACAAACATTTTTATATCTGGTTTCTGAATACAGGACTGCGTCTTTCTCCCGAACCGCTTCTATGGATACGTGACACTTTGCGTTTGTTAGGTGAGTCTTAATATATTAAGTTGTTTTTCAATAAATGGTTTTTGGTATCTTCAGGCGATATTCGTAAAACTTGTTTTCGTGGTGTGAGTCTAAGTCGTTCTTCAAAAATAAATTGTTTTTGGTTAGAAATCTAAGTCGGAATGCGTGGATATCTTTAAGTCAGCTTCCTGCGAGGCTGGTCTGCGAGCTCACAGCTCAACTCTGTCTGCGTCTGTTCGCGCCTGCTGTCTTCTCAGAACTGCAACTCTCCAACTGCCGTCTACTCGCTGCGACTCTGTTTATCTGGACGCCGACCAAAACCGGGTGTGGGCCTGTCGTGGTTTGGGTTCCTCGATAATTCCAAATCCACAATAAGGATTTTCTTTGTTTTCGGACAGGAAAATTTATCACTTTCCATTTTTGGAAGTCCATTACTTTCTGCTTTAGAGGGGTTCTTAAGGGAATCGTCCTCCCAAATTCTTCCTTTCTCATATTGGTATCTCACACCAATCCCCTCAGGAGGCGTCAACAGAGTTTCCCTTCTTTATCATAGTGGTATCTCACACCAATCCCCTCAGAAGCGTCAACAGGCCTCCCCTCCTTCTCATATGTTTACCTTTGCCAACCGCTCACGCCACCACTCAGCCAATGAACGCTTGGCATCGTTGGTGTGGATGGTCTGGCCTCAGTTTAAAATTATCGCTCAAAGGAAAAAAATTATCTTCCTTTTTTTTTCTTTTCTTTCTTTTCCTCCGCCAGACCCCGACGACTCGTAGTGTGGTCCTTAATCTCTATCTTAACCGAATGTCATCTGGAATTTATCAACGAGATTTTCGCCAGCGTCAAATGGACGTCTTCGCACCCTGTCGCCAGCGATCTGTCCCGGCAACAAACTTTTATCATGCCAAAGTCTGAACATAAAACAGGTGTCTCTTTCCAAAACTAAATGATATCTCCGAAAGATAGTTAATGGTTTATTCTTCCCCTTTTTCTCTTAACCTTCCTTTTTCTTTGGGGGTGGTCTAAGTTGATGCCATTCTCGGTCAGTGCCTGACCTGATTACGATTATCTTCCAGCATTCTATTTTGTAGGCCACTTGACCAATTTGAAATTTTCATTATTGCCATGGACAGATTGCTATCTTTTATTCGCCGCGTCATAGCATAAATTAATTCCGACAGATCCGAGATCTTACGAATTTCCTATCTTCTGCGAAAAAAAAAATACTTTTTTTCGCAAATGAAAATAAAATCTTTACCACTTTTCTTTGTTAAAAAAAATAACATCGCTCGGAATGTCTTTCGTGATAGCTTCTTCTCGCCTAAATTATTTCTCGCTTTTAATTTTCACGCGACCGCTAAATAGTGTCACACACTAAATATATATATTTCTGTTTGTGTGTGTATAAAACAATTTTTTATTTTATTTGCATGGACGTTTCGTCAGGAATTCGACTTCATCAGTAGAATCATTTAACTCCGCAAATTAAATTTTTGCTAATTCTGACATTTTTTTCTTCATTTCCGTCCCTTTTTTTTTTTTTTTTTGATCTCTTTCTTTCTTTTTAAATTAGACCCAAATCATATATGACCGGGAGAATTAAACTGGCAACTGACCTCATCACATATATCTTTTTTTAAGCATTTTACCCCAAGCAAGGCGGGAGTGCCACTAGCATGCAAGGGGTTACAGAGAGTGAGAATGAGAATAAAGAAGGGTGTTTGAGGAAAGGATATAGAGAAGGACAGGGATCAGGATCAACGCATCAGAAGATGTCGATTGACATTACATTTGAATATTTTAAGATTATAGCTATCAGAAAAGCAAGTAAGAGGGAGAGATTTCCACTGATGGGAAGTGCGAGATAAGAAGCTCTTGGAGTATAAGAGACGGCTATATTTAACCATAGTGAAAGGGTGGGATCGAAATGCCAACCTAGTAGCACGCTTAAATTCATGCAGTTGGGGTATCAGTGAAAGTAGCTCGTCGGAGCAGTTGCCATGAAAATACTTGTAGAAAAGACAGAGGGAAGATACTGTCTGTGAGAAAGTATATGTAGAGATGCCAGATCAGGACCTATCACATTGCATATCCGTCTCTGGATTTTGTCAAGGACGTCGAGATGAACAGCGTTGGCACCAGACCGTATATGACAATAGTCTTAATTACTTCTTTTTTACTCACAAATCCTACATTTATCCGATAGGAATTAGTATCTTTTTATTATTTCTGATATATGTATTAATAAGAAAAGAAATTGTTTCCCAATTTGTTAATAGCTAATTAATGCCGACATGCTAGAAAAGGGACCATGTTTCATTCACACTATTGTCCTCAATTTTGTCGTCATATTTATCATTTATTGTACGCTCCGGCCTTCTTCAGGTGGTTGGATCATTAGCGAAACATATCAAGGTGGATTATTTCTATTTGTTTTGTTATTTTTTTTATTTAATATTCTTAATTTTAATTTCTTGCATATTCACTCCTATTAAAATACTAATATGACAAAGTGAAGAAAGATTCTCTTTGCTACACACCTCACCACCTCAGCCAAGAAAATATATTGTAGAAATGCTAGCTGGAACCAAAAGGCATACGCAATCACCGAAAGAGGCTAATCATCAGTTCCAAAACAGAACAAAACCAATGCCCTGGAAACCCAGTCAGAAAGAATCAGTCACAGTTGAGCAGCCACTGTCAAATAAACCATGACCAGATTCTAATAGAACTTTTATCAGAAGCGGTCAGCGAATAAACACACCTGTACCTTACAGAATTACATAAGGATACAACCAGAATAATGTTAAGTATACATGGGAGTAGTCTAACACTGTGATTGCTTAGAAAAATTTAAATCCCATAAAGTTAATTATTAATACTTATTCAAGAGGGAAGATGTGATGTATTGAGTAAATATAAATCTTATTATCTCCCTTGGTTCATTCCAGATTGAAAATTGGGAGGATTGAGGAATGGACAAAAAAAACCCTGCCGATGTACGCTCCGACCTTCTTCAGGTGGTTGGAATGTCGAACTTAACCCTTTATTTCGCTCACTGGGGTAGACTGTTCTAGTTCCACGTGGCATGTTTAATGGGTGTCAGTTATCAGTTATCTCCTGTTAATTTCCCTCTGAAGGTTCTCCACTGCCTTAACCGTGTATTGAACTCACACTCTTTGGGTCCTGTCACTGGATCTAACCAACGCCTTTATCCACTGTGCCATGTGTCCTTGAGGCGAATCGGACAGCTTTACGTTGGCGCCCTTTCTGATTTTGTGTTCGAAATCAGGAGAGAAAGGGCGCGAATTTCGCCCGAACACGTAGACGCCTTATTTGAAAGAAGCCATTTACAAGAAGCGGAACGATGAATACAATTACTGTGTTGGAAGTCATGCGCGTATATTAAGCATCAGAATTGTTAGCCGTTTGTCAGAGTTCAATAGGTTTAGGTGATTAGATATTGGTTGAGCGAGGGTCGAAGAGGGTCGAAGTGGGGAGTGTTTGTAAATTTTGAGATGAAAGAATCAGGTAAAGGAAAAACAAATAACGGTAAATGGTGTATTGGAATTGGATATAAAAGAGGGGAGGGTAAAGAAAGAATGAAAGAAAGATGATATTAAGAAAGAAAGAAAGAAAGAAAGAAAGAAAGAAAGAAAGAAAGAAAGAAAGAAGACAGGTTGAGAAAGAAAGAATGAAAGAAAGATGATATTAAGAAAGAAAGAAAGAAAGAAAGAAAAAAAGAAAGAAAGAATAAAAGAAAGATGATATTCAAAAATAAAAAAAGAAAGAAAGAAAGAAGTGTTTAATAAAAAGAAAGAAAGAAACAAGCAAACAAACAAAGAAGAGATAGTAATAAATAGAAAGAAAGAAAGAAGGAAAGAAGAGTTTAATAAAAAGAAATAAAGAAATAAAGAAAGAAACAAACAAACAAGAGATAGTAATAAATAGAAAGAAAGAAAGAAATGTTTAATAAAAAGAAAGAAAGAAACAAGCAAACAAAGAAGAGATAGTAATAAATAGAAAGAAATAAAGAAAGAAGGAAGGAAAGAAGTGTTGAATAAAAAAAGAAACAAACAAACAAGGGATAGTAATAAATAGAAAGAAAGAAAGAAAGAAAGAAAGAAAGAAAGAAAGAAAGAAAAAGATAATAAGAAAGACGAGAAAAGATACCCAAAAATAAAACAAAAACGCCTTAATTATTCTTATTTATCATCTTCTAGAAACTCACTGCTAAGTTAAATACTTTATTGTGAGGTTCAAGGCCCAGGACTCACTCGAAGTAGAGGGTGACAGAATAAGAGTCATAGTTTTATGCCGATATATGGGGAAGATAGCTGTTAAATTGAATTAAGATTATAGTTATTGGGAAAACATCCTCTTGTGAGTTGGTTCCAAAGAACAGCTTTTCCTGGAAAGAAACTGTTAAAATGGTACTTACATCTCATCAATGGAATACAAATGGAATAAGGGTGATTTGCTACAATGGGTGTGGCATGGAGGGTTTTAGTCGTAAACGTTAGAACTGGTAGAATGTAAGGATTCTAGTTCGTTTGAGTCCTTTCTATGGAAATAGCAATAGAGTAGCGAGCGGCCTGCAACGTTTGTGAGAGACGCATTATAGGGTGGAAAATAAGTTGTCACCCACAAGGATGCAGAAACGCTTTTGGAAAATGAAGACTTGGCAGGTCCTGATCAAATATGGCAGCGGGTTTCCATTTGCGGCCTGATTTGTCTCTTCTAAAGGTAGAGGATAACACAAGCCGCCAGGTTCATACTGGCGTGGTTTTGGTGAAAAATATATATATACCTCTTTTTCTCTCACCCCTTTTCTATAATTTTGTAACTCGGGATGATCTATATGATTTGAAAGCCATCATTAGAAGTTTTGATTTTCACTTAGGGTCGTTCATGAAGGCCGTTCGTAACCCGAACTTTTCGTAAACCGAAACTATTTTTCCAATAGGAATCAATGTAGAGAAGAAAAAAAACTCACAGTAACATAAAATTTGAAACGAAAAGCACAGCACAACACACAACTGTATACAACATGGCGGTCGACTCAGAAATTATTCCATCCGTGTTAACTCGGTTCGGCTAAGTTGTTCGACATCGGAAATTTTGTTCGATAACCGAGGTATTTTTTATTTCTGTGCGGAAACCGATTTGTTCGACATGTGAGATGTTCGAGAACCGAGGTTGCTCTTTAGTTTGGTTTTCAAAGCATTGGATGTGACCAGACAGATTTTACTCCGCTGAGCTGTTAGAGCTCGATCAAAGGAAAGATTAGTTGCCAATCTCAGGTCATCTAGACTTTGGGAGGTGCCCGCTTATACAGGGGTATCATCAGCATAGACATTCACAAATGATCGGAGTATATTCTTAGACAGATCATTTATGTAAAATAGAAAGAGGGTTGGGCCGAAAAGCCGACCCTGGGGGACGCCTGTGATGATCGCGTGGGCCGCAGAGGACTGGCCGTAAACAACTACTTTTAGGGACCTATTCGTTAGGGGGGATTTTATAATTCTATAGCTAACTAGCTTATACAAGATCCCTCTCTGCCACACCTTGCCAAAAGACTTTGAAATAATGCGATCGTCAATGGAATGTATCAGGTCATCCCATAAATTCTGTCTGAATTTTGAATAAAGAAAACAAGTGACCAAATGTTACATTTAATTACAGATTCAATCAACAATGTATTTTCCCTGATTATCTATGACTTCTTTCCATCTATTAACAACCTTACTAATTCCATTACTGTAAAATTCTTTTGGCATTGATTCGAAGAACTCACAAATGTCAGTTTTAACCTCTTGCTGTGTTACAAAAGCTGTTTCTTCCAAATGATTCTGTAAGCTACAAAACAAATGGTAATCTGAAGGAGAAGATCGGGAGAATAAGGTGGATGAGGAATTTTTTCCCAAACAAGTTCTTCGATCTTTTGTGACGTGATTCTTGCTGTGTGGGGTCGCGCATTGTCCTGATAAAACATCACCGCTTTTCGGTTCACTAGAGCAGGTCTTTTTTCCTCAAAGCTTGGTTCAAACGCTCTAATTGCTGACAGTATATTTGAGCATTAATTGTTGCATTAGGTGGTAAGAATTCAAAGTGGATTATTTCTTGGCTATCCCACCAGATTGAAAGAAGAACCTTTTGCCCGTGAATTTCACTTCTCGGCTGTTGCTGGGGTCCTTCCCCTTTACCAAGCCACTGTCTACGACGCTTAACATTTCGATAAAAGATCCATTTTTCGTTGCCAGTCACAAGTCTATCCAAAAAAGGTGAAACAAGTTGGCGAGAATGGAGAGAAGAGCAGAAGTCAACTCGGGATTTGAGGTTGTTTTCAGACAATTCATGAGGCACCCATTTTCCAAGTTTAGGAACTTTTCCAAGTTGTTGAAGATGACGATGAACAGTTGTATGGTTTGAACTGAGAACCACTGCCAACTCCTCAACTGATAAAGCAGGATTTTCTTCAAGGGCTGCTTCAAGAAGCTTTTCATCAAACTCAACTGGACGCCCGGTTCGATCTTCATCTTGAAGGGTGAAATCTCTACCTCTGAATTTTGCAAACCATCTTCTGCAAGTTCTTTCATTCACACATTCCTCTCCATAAACTGAGTGAATGTTTCTAGCCACTTTGGCTGCTGAGTTTCCTTTCTTGAACTCATAAAGCATTATGTGCCTCAAATGATTCTTGAGTACTTCCATGTTAGCAGGGTTTTAATCAAACAAAATTTTATTTTATTGGTCTCTGAAATAAAATTTGATCAGTTTAAATGCATCTAAACATAAAAATAATGTTCAGCTCCATTAGACATTATAAAATACTCTTTAAATTTCGTTCATTTTAATAAAAAAAAGGTAAACTTCGAACAGAACTTATGGGATGACCTGATATTTCTTATCTACACCTTTGTGCAAATTAATTGAATGAAAACGAATAATTCCGTTATTATTTACATTTTTTTCGTATTTTACCAATCAAACATGACCCAGTGGACATGTTAGTAATTCGTATCCATTCCACGAAGTCGTTCCTTGCAGATTGACCCCAGATTCTTAATTGGATTTAAATCAGGAGAGTTTCCGAGCCAATCGGTAGTACTTTGATTTGATCAATGGTAAGACTTGCCAGTGTTTTTGTGCAGCATTGCAATTATAGTAAGCCTCCTTGGAGTAAAAAAAATATATATCCCATCTTAACAATATATTATTGAATAATTCCACCCTTCTGCAAATTAATTAAAACAAAACGAATATTTCCGTTATTATTAACTTTTTTCGTATTTTTCCAATGAAACATGACCCAGTGCACATGTTAGTACTTCGTATGTCCATTCCAAGAAGTAGTTCCTTGCAGATCGACAATAGATTCTCAATTGGATTTAAATCAGGAGAGATTTCGAGCCACTCTGTGGTACTTTGATTTTCTCACTGGTAAGGCTTGCCAGTGTGTTTGTGCAGTGTCACAAGTTTTGTAGGCTTCCTTACAGTAACGTCCATTGCAGACAACGGCCGTAGGACAACTAATCGATAGTCGAGACAATAGTGTCTGGGAGTGATAAAAATCTGATCTGATGTCGCAATATTTTTCAAGGCCAAATTTCATCATACATACTGAACATAGATTCATATTGCAGCACACCACTGCAAATGACGTAATTCGAGAAAAAATATAAATCGATTACACCCTGTCACTCCAGTGGGTCTAAAAATGATCGTATGTTGAAAGAAAGGAAACTAAAGCGGTTGTTTCAATTAATTTGCACAAGAGTGTTGTGTGACGTTGATACAGATGTTTCAGGTAATTTTAAATTGAGGTTTATTCACCGACATTAATAGCATCATTATTTAGAGATAAGATTACATCTTGAGTCATATTAGATTGTTGCAACAGTTCCTGTACATGCTGACCAAATCCTTTATTCATATGAATTCATAGCATCATTATTCAGTGTTTAAAATATTTTTCTTGGCCTTCAATGTCATTTTCAGCTAAACTGCATATTCAATTCTCTTCTGTCTTTGCAACTGTTCCAGTATAAACATAATATCATCGCATCGTTATTCAATCATCAAAGTTTTCGCATTAGTTTCTATAAACAGACTCAACTCTACAATAAAGTTGTGTGTTTAATAAAAGAAAAAACGGTTCATTTCAGTGAATTCTTGAAGGTAGCAAAAAATAACTATATTTGTCAACTCTTCGACTTGATAAAAACGGTAAAAAGAAAAGCTGTGTTGCATGAAGCGAAACCTGTCAAAACTTCTAAAAATAAGATGTCTGGACGCTACACGCGGTTGAACATCACATGACAGCAAAAGCAACACGTAATTTTAGGATAGCTGTTGTAGAACGCGTGAACTAAAAGAATATATTCATCATAAAAAGATCTTTTGCGTTCCAGACAATTACACAATAAAAAAAAGCATCTCATTGTAATAAGAAGGAGCCAAGTAGCAAATCATCGTAATAGTAAATTATATTTCAATCTAAACCGACATTGGATATATTTGTGCGAGTAAATTAGGCTTCAATTGCGTAATTAAGACTATTGTATGATTCGATCTCACATCTAATGTTTGGAAACAACGTCCTACAGTTTACTGATTGTACAAGCAATAAAGAGATGAGTAAACTTGAAAGACACTTCGAAGGCTTGAAAACGACGTCCTACACTTGACTGATTACACAAGCAATAAAGAGATGAGTAAACTTGAAAGACACTTCGAAGGCTTGAAAACGACGTCCTACACTTGACTGATTACACAAGCAATAAAGAGATGAGTAAACTTGAAAGACACTTCGAAGGCTTGAAAACGACGTCCTACATTTGACTGATTACACAAGCATTAAAGAAATGAGTAAACTTGAAAGACACTTCGATGGCTTGAAAACGACGTCCTACACTTGACTGATTACACAAGCAATAAAGAGATGAGTAAACTTGAAAGACACTTCGAAGGCTTGAAAACGACGTCCTACACTTGACTGATTACACAAGCAATAAAGAGATGAGTAAACTTGAAAGACACTTCGAAGGCTTGAAAACGACGTCCTACACTTGACTGATTACACAAGCAATAAAGAGATGAGTAAACTTGAAAGACACTTCGATGGCTTGAAAACGACGTCCTACACTTGACTGATTACACAAGCAATACAGAGATGAGTAAACTTGAAA